GAAAAATGAACGAAAAATCCTCTGTAATCGGTTTATTCGTTTAACGAACCATCTCCCAATTGCGTCAACGTATCCCCACTCCTACGTTTCGGACGCGAAATCCCCTTCCACGTTGCTCGAAAATCTATCATTTCGAGAAAAAAGCCACGACCACGACGTCGACCCACTTTCCCAAACAGTTGGTCCGCACGCAATTAAAAAGCCGAAATCTCTCTCTCTCTCTCTCTCTCTCTCTTCTATTACGAAGTTAGCTTTTACGAACGAGAAATCGCGATGGAGAGAAGTGCACGCGATCCTTTCCGTATCGGTGGAATGAAAAGGACGCGGGGATCGAAAAAGAAGAGAAGCGTGGAGATCGGATCGGTCGGGTGCAATAAACGTGGCACGTAACTCGTGGCGCGGCGGTCGGTCGTCGCGGGTGCGCGCAACGCCGCGCATGTCCGTGTTGCCATGATCGCCCTGGCCCACTGACCTATATTACACGCGGGTACAGGTCCCGCATATACGAGTCTCGACCCACAACCGACCGATGTTCGGCCGTGCCGTGGCGAATCCAACCAAGTCCGGCCTCTCGGCCCATCTCGTCTTTCTTTGCTTATTCGCGAACGATGACGGGCCTTGGATTCAAGTTTGCTACCAATCTCTATACGGCGGCGGCCGATCGATAATCGTAAGGAGGAAAGAAGCGAAGGGCAGCGATCGCGTATGTGGCTGGATTTGAAAAGAGGAAACACGCGACGGTGGCGTATGCGGCGGTGGTGAGCGATGATCGCGAAGAGAGGGAAGTTGGATGCGAGCGCGCGCAGTGAGTGGCGCTGCGTTCTGGAGAAGATAGGAGAGGAGAGATGGAACAACGGACAGGCAGCGCGTATTGGCAACGAGGAGAAGAGTGGAGAGGAACATTGGGTCCGTGACAACTGGGTGACGGCTGCGTGGATACACGACGGTGGCAGTGATGCAAGGTGTTCTTCTACGCGATAAGTGGTGACGTCGGCAGAAACGAGCACCGGCTTCTTGCCGCGCTGCGGGTGTGCTCCTTTGCCTCTCGTCTTTCTCCCTTCTCCTCTTTTTCTTCGCTTCCGTTTTACCTTCTCGTCCGTCTCGTTCGATCGACCCGCTCTCTTCTTCCACTAGTTTCGCGTCGTCTATCTCGCGCGCGAGTGCTTGTGATAAATCGTTTCGCGGATACGATGTGCGTTTAACGAGGAATATCGAGGAATGGAAAGTTGGTTTCTAGGTGTCGTCCACACGTCTTGTTGGAGTCTGTCGTGGGACCGTGAGGATGCTTCTCGGAGAAAAGTAAGATCGAAAGTGCACGACGCGATAATGGAAGCGTTGATACGTTGGTTATGGTTGCGGTGGATATTAGTAGATCGTAGTTCAGTTTTCGGTCGCATTCTTGCGCGCAAAAATTATTGATTACCAGCAGTGGACGATTCAACGTAAATGGGTAACGTGGAATTAGGACATTGGAAGAAGCCACGACGCGCGTAGAGACCGCGAAAATCCGTGGTGGCGTTGCCTCAAAATCGACGTTCACGCGTCCCGCTCGCGCACAACGGAAGCAATCGTTTTCCTTCTCGAGCTGATATCAAGGTCGAGTGGCTTCGATCCGTGATGTTCTCTTCGGACCTTGTCGCGGTTAGACGCAGTTCTCGTCCAAATTTTATCGCTTTTTCCCTTCTCTCTTTTTCTTTTTCGTCTGTATTTTTTCTCCACATCGAAAATTGATTGCAATTTAACATCGAGGTCATAGTCAATTTTATAAATACATACATACATACATACATATATATTTTTTCCAAGTTATCGCTATTACTCTTATCTCCGAGATAAATTATCTTTTCGCTTAAAATTTTTGTATCTGAATTACGCCTGATTTTTCACGAAGAATGCATCTTAAATTTCGTAATATTTGAATATCGCGTTTTAATATATAACAACTCCTTTATGTATATTTTTTTTCAATTATTCACAAATTTGTACCTCGATATTTAATTCGATAATATTTAATTCGATATTTAATCCGATATTTTGCGATACGATATAAATGTAAAAGGAAAGCGATGAAAAGAACAAAATTATAATAATAAAGATATATAAATATACGTAACAATCCGAGTATTCCGAATACATTGAAATATGTTTATATGAATGAAAATCACGCGATTCGAGAAACCGACGTCGTTCGAACTTGATAGCGTCGTTAAATGTGGAAACAGTAGCCCGATGATCGTGATTACTTGATAGTTATATACTTTGCACGTAACTAATAGCGTATATTTTCCTTACTCAGCTATAAATCATATTTTATTCAAATTAAAACGTATATATGACAATTTTTTAATTATATCGTCTCGAACGTCATTATAATTTTATTTATACATAAATAACCGAGGAAAAAGTTGGATGAGAAAGAGTATTTCGAATAAGAAAAATAACGTGTAAAGTAATTTGAATGAATAATTGATATCGAAACAAATGGGGAAAATGACTTTGTTTCTTAGTTCGTTGATATTCGTGATATTTATTCGTTTCTCGAATATACGATATGCTTGCGAGATGAAAGAAACGAGAGAACGATTAGATTTTTCATTAATGTATAAAAAAAAAAGATGGAACGTGACGCCGTTTGAAAGAGCTGTTCTCGAGGCTCACTCTCGCGCACGCTTTTGCTTTCTTGCTCGTGCTTGCTGTTACTTGCCAAACGAATCACGAAGTAGAACATCTCGCGTTGGTATTAGGAAAAATTTCACCTGCGATTCTTTCTTTCGCATTCCTTTGATTTCTCACGAATCAGAATTTATACCGCTACTTTTAACAATTAATTCGAAACGAATGAAACGATGCAGAATTTCTGAAAGAATTTTATCCGTCTTTTTGCGAAAAAATTCTTGATTTCATATAAATAAAATAAAATAGATAAATATTTTATCTCTCGTTGTTTCGTATATTTCCTGAATCTGATAATTTATTATATCGAAGAACAGTGTTTGAAAGTTTTTTTTAATTTTTGATCGACACGAAAATCGACTTTTCGTGTTTAACCAGAATCGAAAGTGAAACGGAACTCGAAGATGCATCGTATACAAATTTATGCAATGGTCTCGGAGAAATTTCAGAATTTATCGTCTTGTATCGCGATGATTACGCAATGTTGTTAGAGCATCGTGTCTAGCGGCGTTCCATTGGCGTGCCATATTATCTTCGATTCACTGTTATTTATAGTTCTATAAAGTGGAAGATTCACGCACGGCGAGACGAGCGAACGAAATCGAAATTTTTTTACGAAAGAAAAATAATAAATTCTTCTCGCGTCGTTTCTCGTCCGATTAAAGCAAAGTCGAGCGACAGGATAAATGGAAGCATCGATCGATGGCTCGTTCCTCCTCTAATTAATCTTTATTCACGGCATTTATCAATTAAACCGTTTCGGAAGAGGCTATCTCTGTCGGAATCGCGGAATTTCAATTTCGACGAATACCCGTAATCACGATTTTTCCAGCGTGTTTACAGGCTGGCTTTTATCCGGGGAATCCTCTAGCTTCGCCCCAGGAAATATCATCTAGGGATAACTAGTCGGTCACTCATTTTTCGATAGTTGCCTCGACTCACCGAGAAAACTAACCGAAAAGGAAAAAAGGTGCTCGGAGGAAGAGGTGGATAATGATGGCGTACAATTTTCGAGATTGTTGATGGAAAAGGAGAAGAGGGGAAAAAGGCGAGACACGCGCGGTTCTTGTCCACGTGCCGTAAATTGGCGTTCGTTTTCGGTCGAAGAAAGAAGATCAGGGCCGAGGAAAGTGTGTTAGTAATATCGAGTTTTAAACGACTCTTTTAATGCATTTTTAATCGATTTTTCGATAAAACCGATCAAACTTGTATAGGTATAAAAAGAAGATATATAAGAAAAAAGATTATTAAGAATTTGAAATTTAAAAGTATGGAGCTATAAGTAAATGAATAATTAATAACGATTGACAGCCATTTTTAAAAATTAACGCGATACTTGTTTCATTATGCCTATCTATATTATTCCTATCCTGTTCGAAACTGAAATCAAAATCTACGATTTCCACGATTTCCACGATTTCCACGATTTGTTAAAAAAATAATTAATCTTCCACGCGATCGTGAAATTCGAACGTTCTTTTTATTCGAAGAAACGAGAAATTGTAAAAAATTCTTTCAAACGAGAGTGACAAAACGATCGCCATGCTTGGTGGACGGGAATAATTTTTCGTTCGTTTATTCGGGGCTAATTCGCGGAATCTCGGTGCGTCGAAGAACGTGTAAGTACACGATCGGTCATATATAACGCTTGCAACGCGCACGTTTATACCGCATAGTAGTTTCATTGCACACGAAACGACAGACGATCCGTTAATAAAACAAGCGTGATAACGATACGAACGTCATGAAAACGCGTTATTGTCTCATTAAATACAAACACGATACGCGGGAACGTCATTTCGTGAAAAACGTGATGCAGTTACGGAATTTTTCAATCCGGATCGTACACGCATCTACGACCAAGCGTGATGTTTTGCTCGCCGTCTTATAAATCTTTGTATATTACGTATACCGTGTATACAGTTACTTCGAGTCCTCTTACATTTCGTTACATTTTCGTCTTGGCAAGCACGAAGCGATTTTCTAAAATTATCCGCTTTATGGTAATGCGATAGGTAATAAGTCTTCGATGTCGTGGAACATTTTTTCGAATCAACCGCTTTATCTTGATGCAGAGAGCGATAAGGAGAAATTGTACTCAACGGTACAACCCCAAAAAGGGAAAAAGGAAAAGGAAAAGGAAGGTTATCGTTATTGATGTATACAAATCGATTTATCGATGTGCAATAATATTTGCTATATTATATACGATTAATTATCGATCGATCGATTTGGTTTCCCGTTCGTGAAACGCTTCGTCACCTGGACGCGGAACCAAAAGAGGAAGGAAGGAAGGTATGAATTCCTTTCAATCTCGTGCGCTGGACCGTGACGTTAAGGTCAGAAATCGGACGATTAATAGCTTGGATAAAGTTGGCCAGTTCCGAAAACAATGTATAAACGGTATCCTCTCGGTGTAGTTTCTGGCTTGGCAACTTAGTTGCAAATGTTGGCTAGCGTGGCCGAGGTGATTAGATGACGTCGAGTGGCAAATATGTCAAGATGCCTGACGAGAGATCAACGCACGTGTCTAATTTGCTCCTTTGTAACGCGCTCGCGTCCATCCCGGCTATATTTACGAGAGAAATTACCCGAGAATTTCTCGGACCGCGCACCGTGTCAAATTGTCGCTGGCTCCGTCGTTTTCGAAAGATCGCGGATGCGGATTGGCTGCCGAAATCGAGGTTGCTCGGCTTCGCTTCATTTTCACTTACGTGTCAATTTTTCTACTCTTCTCCTCCTACTTTCTCCCTAATATTAGACAAATTATTCGCTCAATGATTTTTTTCTCCTAAATTTATTTTTCGTTT